CCTTCCCCTTCCCCTGCCGGTATTGCTACTCTCACTGTTGGTCCTGATGGGTTTATTTGTCCTGGGTTCCCTGTGTTTCCAGCTCTGATCTGTACCGGTGTACGTGCTCAGGTCTAGCCGGATTTGTAAGGTAGAATTAGTATCATGATAGTGGGGGAGAAGGAGCATTAAAGAACCTAGAGGAAAGTTGTATGTTTCATCGATGCTGTACTGCCCCCCTGACTGGCTCTCACTTCCTTGTGACCCTTCTGCAAGGGGGTGTCCAGTTGCCTACAGATGGGCGTTGGGTCTCCACTCTGCACTCCCCCTCATTCACAGTGGCTGATTTTTTGTTCTGGGTCTTTGATGCCAGGGTAAGTGGTTTCCATTGCTCACACCGTGATTTCCCCAAACGTGGGGAACTCAGCTGCCTGATTTGTAATGGTGGAGGACTGCGTTTGACAACATAATTGTCAAGACAAAAGCATTTCAAGTTTTATCTTGAAGTCCAGTGCCTTTGGTGATAATATCTATATATACACAAGGAAGACCAGATAATACAACTATTATTCAAATTTGTGCACCAAGTTCTAAAGCTAGTGATGAAGAAGTTGAAGAATTTTATACCTCTTCTAGTCTGAAAGTGATCAAACATGCAGTCAAGATACTTTGAAAATTATTGACATCTGGAATACAAAAGTTGGAAACAAAGAAGAAGGGATGGTAGTTTGAAAATAGGACCTTGGTGATAGAAATGAGGCTGGAGATTGCATGATAGAATTTTGCAACATTAATGGCTTCTTCATTGCAATTCTATTTTTTCAACAACCTAAATGGCCACTCTACTGGTGGGCTTCACCAGATGGAGTACACAGGAATCTATTTGGCTACATCTGTGGGAAGAGACAATGGAAAACTCAACATCATCAGCCAAAACAAGACCCTGTGGAACAGACCATCGATTGCTCCTATGCAAGTTCAGGTTGAAGCTGAAGAAAATTAAGGAAAATCCACGAGAGCCAAAATACAACTTTGAATATGTCCCACTTGAAGTTGGAGGTCATTTCAAGAATAGGCTTGATGCTTTGAGCACGAATAGCCAAAGAGCAGATGAGGTTGGGATGACATTAAGAGCATCATGAGGAAAGCCACAGGCCGCTAAAAAGTAGGAAAGAGACAAAACCCAAAGAAGAGACATTGAACCTAGCTCTTGAATGTAGAGGAGCTAAAGCAAATGGGGGAAAAAAAACAAACCAATGATATAAAAGACTTGAACAAAAAGTTTTAAAAGGCAGCTTCAGAAGACCAAGTAAAGCATTACAATGGTATATCTACAGAGATCTGGAGTTAGGAAACCAACGTGAAGAACATGCTCTGCATATCTCAAGTTGAAAGAACTGAAGGTAAAATTCAAGCCTAGACTTTTTCAGAGACTCTGGGCAGACATTGAATGACGGTCGGAGCACACTTGCTGTCTGTGCCTTTAGTCTCCAGGCCCCTGTCCACCCCTTTGTCATAGCACTCACGGTTTCGTGTTCGCTCTTGTACTACCGTGCTGCAGGCTGAATCCTCTCCGCCTCTCCCTTTTCTTTCATACTTGCTGTCCTGTTTCTCTCCTTTGGCTGCTGTTGTGTGTGCACAGATGATGTTGGTACTGTGCCGCCCCCCCCCCCCCCCCCCACACACACCCCTTTCCTGTAAGTGTCTCAGGGTACCTTGGGGATTTCTATTCAAGATAACCAGCCACATGACTTGACTCTTGAAGGGCATGCAGGGCTGCATCAAGAGCAGTTCGGTCTCAACACTGATCCACTTTAGGAACCTAACTGATAAGGAAAGGGTTTCATTGTCAAACTTGTCTATTTTGTTGCATCTTCTAAGATCCAGCCATAAGATTTGGCAGCCCAGCCTGTCTCTTGTTTTCCTTGGTTTATGGCTTTCAGCTTTGTAAAATGGCTGAGATGAAAGGCTTTATCGATAATAACAAAGTATGCCATCAGCCTGTTGTGTGAGGGGACAGACCTTGGAAATATTTGTTGATAACTATGTTAATGAACATACCCCGACAGGAAAAAAAACATTTTTGTGGTAGATCTTGGAAAGACTGTGAGAAAGCAATCAATGGTAGAGTGTAGTGCTTCAAATAACTAATTTATTTTTTAATTTACATATTGTTTTTTCTTTTTGATATTTTATAACATTTTAATCTTAGGATATATTTTATATTTAAAAAATTTTAAACTTATTTTTTGCATTAAAAGTATTTAGAATGTGAGTACTTTATATGGAAGTTTGTCTCTCTATTTTGACAGTCCCAGGGTTTAGCTAAAAGTGGCTGCTTCAAGCAAGTGGTTTCTCTGAGGTCTCCTAATTTGTCTTAAAATAGGCAAGCATTTTGCTTTTTATTTAGTAATGTTCTTCTGTTAGGTAAACAAGCAAACAAACAGAAATGCCTGAAGCTGGAGCTGTGGTGACACAGTAGGCTAAGCTTGGGCGCTAACCTCAAGGATCACAGTTCAACCCCACCATGTACTCTGCAGAGGAGAGAAAAGGGGGTCCGACCATAAAGAGTTGCAGTTTCAGAAACCCTATGGAACAGTTCTGTTCTCCCCTATAGGGTTGCTCCGAGTCTGAATTAACTCGAAGGCAATGGATGGGAATGGTTCTAGAACTGAACACAGTTCTTTCCATTGTGCCACAAAGCTCTATTGAATGAGCAGGCAAATGTGATCTGGCAAAAGCCTGAACTGCTGGCTGAATTTATTATAGGCTTGTTTTTGAAATTGATATTAAAATAAATGTTTTTTTAAAAGTAAATTTTCTAAATTGATCTGTTTTTATAAATAAAGTGAAATTGGTTCTGGGTACTTGGCTATGTAGGTTTAAAATTGTAGATGATGTATTGGTATGCTGTTAGTTTTAATGTTTTTTTTCCCCCAAGTCAGGAAATGCAAAAATAACATTTTTCAGTATCGAGGAATTTGCCTCTGTGTTCAGATGGTATACATATGTCTTGTTCCTCCATTGTTAACAATGACTAAGCATAGATGGTTACTAAAATCTCAACTTAAACCAGATCTTACTTTTTAATGTACATTTGAGAATGTTAGGTATTTCTTTAGTTATGAGACTTACTGCTAAAATTAACGGCTTGAAGAACTGAAATTTGGAATTTCGGGAAGTTTTCATTGCTTATATTCTTGTAATGAACTTATGTATTACACGCTACTGAGAACTGTATTTATTATTTATATGTATAACAGGCAACTCAAAGTTATGTTGACGAATGTCCTGTGGACGGATTTAGGACGAAAATTCAGAAAGAGCCTACCTCGGAGCGACGCGAACTCCTGTGATGTCCACAAGGAGCACTCGGCCTCATTGCCTTCGACAGCTGCTGACCACCGAGAGCCGGGTCACAAATTAGAACTTCTTAACCAAAGCCGTCCTGTATCCGAAAGGTATGTCGTTCAGTCTTAATTGTGTTCAACCTACCCCATTTGAACTAATGTAAATCCAATTCTCTTGAAAATAAGATCGTTGGAAAGGATTTGAATAAATTTCGCACATTTCGGTGCCCTTGTTGTAAGCAGTTTTATACCTGATAATATCAATGTGCATAGTTAGGTGATGGCTCTGCACTTTCTTAGAATTAGTTTTTAAGACAAGTTTCTTTAGTGCATTTAACTTACTTTAAAATAATTTGAACCTTATATTCACCTTTTTGAGAATTCATTTATGATATAAAATGAAAGCATGCATATACTGATTATTTTCTACATTGTAGCATATAATATTAAAATATTACTTACTTTGGATTCTAACTACCTTTAACTTTATGAGCTTTCTTATACTTTACATCCATTTTGAGGAAAAAAAAAAAAAGGTGATCTTTCAATTTTGTCCTTGAGAGATTTTCATAGTAAATACTTAGTTTAATTTTGAAAACAAGCTGGTCTAATTTAGGTTTATAGTTTTTCAAAAGTTTGTATACAGAATTTGTAGATGAAAACTAGGAATTATCTCTAGAAGCTTGTGATTTGTAACAAAGTTTTTCACAAATATAAATAAATTTATTTACATTTTCAGTTTTAAAATTATTTATTTATTTACTTTTTTCTTCTGAATGGGGAGAATGTGCTTTGATTTCAATTAGAATAATCTCCCACTACATAGCTAGAACTTAAGTTATGTGGATTATAATGAGTGACATTAAATAGTACTTTATGCCGAGACATATATAAAACTGCTAACTTTTAACAGTATTTTAAAAAAAATAAAGTTGTGTTTTAATCGAACAAAAGGACAAGACTTTAAAGAAAGGAAAACCAATAAAAAGCTAAGTTTAATGAGACCTTTCTTTCTAGATCATTCTTGATGTAAATATAGCATTTTAAAGCTCCTAAATCTTGGCATCTGGACAACTTTGCATCATTCATTTATGAAGTACTTTGTTCTCATTCTACTGGGTTCTGTTTGTTTTCTTATTCAGGACAGGTGAATTTTTCTTTTGCTCTGTTAGCAGATATAAATGAGGAGGAAGTTAAAAGAATGGCTTTTCCAATTCTTTTGACTCTTTCGAAAGGAAGCTCTAACACTGTCTGCTATCAATGGTAGAAAGAAAATGCATCCTTCAAATGACAGAAACATCACGATTGTTATCTCGTGATAGTCCTTTTCCATTTAGAATAGGTGGTATTTTATTCTTTCAGAAGAATAGTTCCTCCTACTATGAATGCTTAGTAGCTAGATTATGTATTACATGAAATTGAAACCTAGCATGAAGTGACAAAACTAAACTAAAAACAAACCCACTGCCACCTGTTGGATTCTAACTCATGATGATCTCATAGGACAAAGTAGAATTACTACTACACAGGGCTTCTACTGTAAGGTAGTTGAGAGGCGCCATAAGACCAAATCAGTCAAATTTGAGCAAACAGGATTTATTGGGGAGAAAAACCCAGCCTGGGAGAAGTCTCATGGTCCACAGCGTCAGGAGCAAGGGAGTCGCACTCCAGACTACAGGAGTGGTGTTTATATAGCCGGGGAACATGTGACTGGGCTGCCTTGAGTCCATATAAGGTAAAGTAGTCAGGGATTGGGAGATACAGGTATGTCTGTGTTTCTGGAATGTAAGGTGTCTTCCTGGTTCCGGGTGTATTGGTGCAGAGTGCAGAGCGGCGGGCCAAGAACAAAGTGGCACCGAGCCAAACGGGCCAAAACGGGCTGTGAGTAAAAGAAAGAAAAAAAACTTGCAAAGCTGTTTACATAGCCAACTCTGATCAGCTCCGCAGGTGTGTGTGGGATAGTCAAGGCCACTTGCTGCTAGTTGTTTCAGCCAGCTCTGGTCAGCTCCGCACGGGTGGGGGAGATTCAAGGTCACATGCTGCTAGAAGCGGCCTGGTATTGCTCCAGCCATAGTGTACATCTTTCAGAAGTCAAACTGCCTCATCTTGCTGTATCATTTTTGTTTTTATCTTTGTTCTGTATCTTAGTGAATAATTCCCTCCTACAATGGATTCTTCAAAATACAGCTTGTGAATTGGTCTTCTCTAGTTCTCTTACCCTTCCTTGTAATCATTTACCTGCCAGTCACTTTGTTGGCTCTGGTGGCTCATGTATTGGCATGAGACTAAAAGCTCTGCTACTGGTATTTTTTTTTTTCCCCAGAGATCACTTTATTAACCCTTAAAGTGGACAAAGAAAGATCTGTGGTGTGCAAAGGATTCATGGCCAGGAGCTAGTTATAGGTGATAGAAAACAAAGGAAATCATCATTTAATCATGATGGGTGACATCATGATTTGCATCAAGGTTGCAGGTGGGACTACAGAAATGGGGAAAGGACCATACCTGGGAAATATGCACAGTTTCAGATTAGAAAAGTTTATAGAATTACTACTATATTCCTTTCCCCATCTGCCATTAGTATTTCACATGCCTTTTTTAGCAGGATCACTCATGATGGGCAGGTTTCAATGGAACCACCAGACTCAGACGGAATAGGAAAATGTACCCGCAAACCACTTCAGAAAATTAGCTAGTGAAAACTTATGTCTCGATCAGTGTAGAAGGTGAGCCCATCCTGCTCACAGTTCTGTGTGAGGGAGAGAAGCGACAGTGGACAATAATCCATTAGTAATAAGAATGTATACAGTAAGGGAAACTGGGAGTCATTAAAAACACCCAGAATGCTGGAAGATTGATAACCTAGCTTTTTGTGAAATCGACATTGGCCTTTTTCAATTTAACAATCACATTTATTCTATTGGGAATAACATATTGAAGTGTGGCATTACATTCATTGTTAAAAATGTTTCCATATCCATTCTGCAGTACAGTGCAGTCTGTGATAAGTCAGTATTTACATGTCTATAAAGAATATCAGTAAATATGACTTATTCAGATTTATGCACAAGCTATAAATGACAAAGATTAATAAATGGATGATTTTGATGACCTATTGTAATCTGAAATTGATTAAACATGCAGTTCAGATGTATGTGTACTTACTGGTGATTGGACTGGGAAAAATTGAAATACAGAAGGTTCAGTTGTTAGAAAACATGGCTTTGATGATAGTTACAACACCAAATGTCACATAATAGGATAGTTAACAAGACCAATTACTTATTCATCAGAAATGTTTATTTTCAACAACATCCAGTGACTATGCACCTGCCCCTCACTGAATGGATTAGATAGGAATCTAATTGACTATATTTCTACTGAAAAGATGATAAAAAAGCTTAATATCACCCACTGAGACAAAACCAGGGGCCAACTGCAGAACACACTATCAATTGCTTATATGCAAGTATAAGTCAAAGCAGAAAAAGTTAAAGCAAATTCAACAGACCCAAAATTGGACCTTGGACCTATTCTGCTTGAATTTAGAAACCGTTTCAACAGTAGAGTTCACGTACTAACTAAAGACCACAGACCAAAGATGTGGTAGATATCAAGAAAGCGTACTTGTAAAAGAAAAGGCTGTCGAAAAGACAAGAAAAGGAGGAAAACGGGTTATTGCCTGTGAAGTTCCGAGTTTTGGTTTATGGTGATAGAAAAATAACTTCATTAAAGGGTAGGGGTTGCACCGCCGATTAAGGAAATTGCTGTCAATAGTTTTATATGTGTACAATGTGAATTAAGTGTGTGATAGAGAGATCGAGAACAACAAGTTGCGATACCTACAACAACAACAGTTGAGACTGCTTATGTATGAGCAAATACCTTGTGGAGTCTGTTTTCCTGATTTGGAGGGTCATGGTTTCACGGACGTCCCAGGTAATCGTTCTGATGACATTTTCGTTATTTCTGTTGTACCTCCTTGTTCATTAGGAGCCCTGGCGAGGTCATGATTATGAGTTGGGCTTCTTACCCACAGGATCAGCAGTTCAACGATGAATCATATGTACTTTTATAAAAGAGTTAGAGTCTTAGAAACCCACAGAGGCGGTTTCACCCTGTCCTGTGGGATTGCTATGAATCTGCATCTACTTGACAACGAGTCTTTTTAAAAAAAGTTTTCCTTGGTGTAGTGCCTGGGGCTTAAAAGGTAGCATACAGCCATCCTAGGTACAATAATTGTTCTCTAGTCACCTGTAGTAGGAGCTCTGGTGGTGTAGTGGTTATGTGTTGGGCTGCTAATTGTGAGGCTAACACTTTGAAACCACCAACCGCTCCTTGGGGGAAAGATGAGGCTTTCTACTCCTGTAAAGAATTACAGTCTCAGAAACCCACAGGGACAGTTCTGTTCTGTCCTGTCCTGTCACCATGAGTGAGAATTGACTCCAGGGTAGTGAGTTTGGTTTTGATGGGTCATCTGTAGGGAGAAGCATGAGGCTTTTTACTCCCTTAAATAGTATCGGGAGCTCACAGGCAGTTGTACCCTGCCCTGTCGGGTTGCTGCGAGTCAGAATTAACTTGCTGGCAGTGACTTTCGGTTTTTTTCTTGTAGTCACCTCTAGCAAAGGAGAGTCAGGAGTAGAAGGAGGAAACAGATGTATGAATAACAGGTTTCGTTGCCGTAAGACCAGAGGGACTGCATGGTTTCTAGCTACCATGGATGCCTTTGTCAAAGCACATACAAGAATCCTGATCACAAG